AGCTGGGACCACAGGCACCCACCACAACGCCCAGCTATTTTTTGATGGCAGATGTCATTGTTGTTTGGTGGGCCCGGGCTGGATTCGAACCCACTACCTTAGGTGTATGTGGCTGGCGCCTTAGCCACTTAAGCCACAGGCACCAAGCCCAAAATCTATTTTCTTTACCTGCAGGGTGCTGTTAATATTTTAGGCAATTCTTTGTTCCTGCTATATGACACTGCAGATGTTTAACATCGCTGTGTCCCCTCCCCAACACCATCAGTGTGACAACTAAGAGCCCTGTAGTCAGTTCCAAATCCCAGGAGGTTAGTAGCTACCCAGATTGAGACCTGTGGTGGTGACCCTGGGGTGTCACCACTCAGCTGGTGTCTTAGTGATGTAGCAGGGTCTTTGCTTCCTCTTTGATGTGTCTTGACAGGTTCAGCGGACACTGGGGATGTCACATGACCGGCATGTTGCTGCCACTGCTTATACCCCACAAGGTTTCCTCATAGACACCTCTCAAGATGTTCGAGGCCAGATTAACTTCTCTACCCAAGAGACAGGTCTGTTTTTATCACTCCAGCTATTGTAATATATCATAAGTTTCTATGAAATAGGGAAAATAATGAGGAAGTACATAGAGGTGGTGGAACAGCAGGAAAATAAATTCAGCCTTTAACACCAAAACTACAGTGTTCCTAGAGACTGCTGATGTCCGAGGATGTCAAATGTCAGTCCCCTGGCAGTTTGGCAGGTCTACAGGTGACTGTTACAACTCGAGTTTTCAGCAACTCACTTATCTCATCATCTCCAATTGATCAGATTCTGGGAAAGTGACCAAAACAGAGAGACCCACTTATAATACAGAATTCCAATTAATGAAGGAAGCATTTCTTTCCAGTCATCAGAACAATTAAGCCAGTTGCTAAAAGCAGATTCAGAACAAAAGATATTCACACCAAACCATTTCATCAGCCAAAATAGTCCTACAGCCAAATCAAGCCTGTCCCATTTTGGACAGCACAAGTCTTTCTTTCTTTCTTTTTTTTTTTTT